TTTCATGAGAGTTCTACGATGCAATTTGCGCAGTTTAACCAAGTTGTGCAGTTATATTTGGTAGGAACGTTGTAAGTGATTTACTTTATTTAGTTTTAACTAAGTAATAAATGGTATTGTTTTCTTTAATATGCTTATAAAAGCTTTTTCATTCCCTCTACATTTACATAGAATAATTAGCATTGGATTTAACTATATGATAAATGATAATAAATTTCAATAGAATGATAATATTAAAATTATAATAATTTAATCAAATTTACAGTCTATCGAATAGTTTGATTATAAACGATAGAAAACCTGTTTCTAACATAAATTCATTTACAAAATGATTAATTATTTTGTATACGTTTAAACTAGTCAGTCAGTTTAATCGACTTATTTGCAAATACATTGATATTTCATGCCTATCGCATGATCTCTCCCCTTTTTTCTTTCCGCCTCTTTTTTTTTTTTAAAATTTATTATTTGATATTGTTTTAAATTGAAAATTTATTGTGTCATTAATTTCTTTCTCTTTGTTTTTTTAAATAAAAGTCTCACAAATTTTTTATTTAGTTTAAAATTTAATTTTATTTTATCGCTCTTTTTTGATTAGAAAATTTATATATTTTTAGGAAAGAATTTTAATAGGAATTTGAATTAATTTAAATTGGAATTAAATTAAGATTAATTATTGATTGATTGATGGAAATATATGGAAGTAAATAATGTGTAAGTAAAAAGGAATGATAAGCAAAATTTCCAACTGATAACATTAAATAATGTATCATTGATTTAAAGAGACATCTGATTTCTTTTGCAATTTGTTTCATCAATTTTTTTTTTTACATATTAATAAAGTACAAATGATCTCAACCATTTATATTTTAATTTAAAATATTTTAATTAATTAATTAATTAATTTTTGTTTTAAACTAAATTAATTTTAATCTCTTTATGATTATCAATGCATTGATTGAGTCATTGTGATAAATCTTTATCAATTATCAGTGCTATTCATTTACTTGCTGATGCTAAAATAATAGTAGTATGTTACGCGATTAGGATAACTTATCAAATACTTCAAATTCTATTGTTTGTTACAAATTGATATGTGATAATTTATCCTTTATCTTCTTGACTTATTTAAAATACACTTAATCTTGCTTTAATAAAATCGAATCGATATTAAATTTTCATATCACAATATAAAATATTCAAATGTTAAATCTCTCAATGAAACGATAATGCAAATGAATTCATTTTATAGATTATTAAAATTTAGGATGGCAAGATCTCTGATTAATAATGAAGCAAACTTATCAGAAGGAATCGATCGTTTCATCATCTTCAATCGTTACACAATATTTTTATGCATAACCTATGAACTTGTTATAATATCACAAGTTGGCAATGTTATCTATATGTTATTTGCTGGTTAGTCATATTTCACTTATCATTTTAGAAATGTTAATTTTTCGATGAAAAAACAAAATACATTTTAATTGTTAACAAAAAAAATTGATAAGAGAAAATCAATAGCTTTTGTTTAATAATTACAATAATCTCTTCGTTTCCATTCTTATCAATTTTCCGCCCTCTTTCTACTGAAAGTTAAACTATTTATGTTTAATTAAAAATAATTAAACGAATTTGAAAAATAAAGAAAAAAAGGAAATAAAAATTTAACAGACTTTATTTAAGTAATTTAATTTAAGTTCTATAGTTTTTAAGTTTTCAATTAAATATAAATTTTAAATTTCAATTAAAAAAGAAGGAGAAAAATTGAAAGCAAAGAAAGTTTACAGAAAATTTTTGGAAGTGCATGAATAAAATATAATTAATTAAAAATTTGAAAATGTAAAATTTAAATTTAAATTAAAAAAAAAAACAATAACTTATATTATTGCAGCATCAGCACCTGATATTATCGGATGTGATATGATAATTTTTAACGGAAGTTTAGGACAACGTGAAATATGCGAACAATATGAAATTATGACAAAATTAAAAAATTATTCTTGTCAACCAATTCTTGAATATCAATTTCGATCCGTTGCTGTTGAAGTATTGTCTCATTTAATTATTGCAAAAGTTTAATTTAAAATTTAAACAGCTATAAACATTTAAAGATGTTTTTGTTTTTTATACGAATTACTAATAAACATATAGTTTAAAATTCTTTTATTATACCATTTGATAATTAATAAACATATAGTTTTAAATTCTTTTATTATACCATTTGATAATCAATAAACATATAGTTTAAAATTCTTTTACTATACCATTTGATAATTAAAAAACATATAGTTTAAAATTCTTTTATTATACCATTTGATAATCAATAAACATATAGTTTAAAATTCTTTTACTATACCATTCGATGATTAATAAACATATAGTTTAAAATTCTTTTACTATACCATTCGATGATTAATAAACATATAGTTTAAAATTCTTTTATTATACCATTCGATAGTTTAATATAGAATTTAAATATTTATTTGAAGCAAAATATGTTTGAAAATTTTTCAATAATTATTTTAAATTTTTAAAATAATTACTGAAAAATTTTAATTACATAGTTTAAAAAAAAATCATTTGCTTTTATCTTCATTGTTTCAGTGGGGTTATTTCTGCGGTGACATAGTAAAAGTGAAAAATTTGGTATCATTGCAAATGTTTGGTACCATAATTGGTGGTATTTTATTTGGACAATTTTCCGATTTATTCGGACGTCGAAAAGTATGAAAATTTTGGCATTAATAATTTGTACGGAATTAACGATCGAATCATAATTAAAATGAATGAATGAAAAGAACTTATCATAAAATTGTTAAAATTTTAAATTAAGCATAAATTCCTAGCAAAAATTCCAATTAATATTTCCCTTTTTTTCAGTATTCTTCTTATCACTTTATCATTTAATCAATTTTTTTCAGTATTCTTTTTATCACTTCATCAAAGAAATGTAACATTAATTTATAAGGGAATAAAAATGGAAAGGAAAGAAAATCCTAAAAACATAATTATATCCATAGTTAGATTATTATCTATCATTGCTATTATTATCAATCATAATTATTAGCTATCTGAAGATAATAAGATTAAGCTAATTTGTTGATTTCAGCAATTTCTTTAATTTATTTCATTGATTTAAATTTTTGATAATTTCTAAACTGTTTTAATTACTCTTACAGATAATGATCATATCCCTATCAATGACAATTTTATCCGGTATATTATCATCATTTGCTACCAATCTTCTCATGTTTGCAATCAGTCGTACTTTTGTTGGTTTCTTTGTTGGCGGCAATATAATGTTACTTTTAATATCTTTTTGAAATTTTAAATTATTTAAAGAATGCAATCCTTTGAAATCAGACCTTCACATTTATAATTATAATTTCTATTAAATGCAATTTATGAAAAGGTATAAGATAATTATTCGAAATATTAGAGAATTAAGATAAGTTTAAATAATTACTTTCATTTATTGCTTAATAATTTGATAATTAATTAATTCTTCAGGTAATCATAATCAGAATTAGATGGAATTAATATCTCCCGTATTAGAATGTAATTAGGATCAAAAAATTTATTAATTGATGATAATTCCATGCACTTCTAAATAAGCAAACAAATGTTATTAATGATTTCAGCGTAATGTACGTGTACGTAATCGAGAAGATTCCAACAAATGCTCGAATTAAAGTTAATACGTTTGTCACGTGGTCACCTAATTTCATATTACTTTCATTGGTAGCTTATTTCACGGGTTCATGGGATAGACTTGCTATTGCAATTAATTTATTAGCTGCACCATCACTTCTTTGTTTTATGTAAATTATTTTTTCATTTCTTTTCTTAATTGTTAAATAAGAAAATTTTAAATTACGTTTTAATTCAAAAATTATTTATGTATCAAGTTTTTTTTTTAATTTTTAAAATTTTTAATTAAAAAAATTTTGTCAAAAATTAAAAAGGTCATTCAAATACTCTATGAAAGTTCACGATAGCTAATTCAAAAAGGTCAGTTAAATAATAATTTTAGTTTTCCCTATGAAAGTTTACGATAGCTAATTCAAAAGGGTCATTTAAATAATAATTTTAGTTTTCTCTATGAAAGTTCATGATAGCTAATTCAAAATGGTCATTTGAATATTGATTTTAGCTTTCTTCGTGAAAGTTCATGATAGCTAATTCAAAAAGGTCATTTAAATTATAATTTTAGTTTTCCCTATGAAAGTTCACAATAGCTAATTCAAAAAGGTCATTTGAATATTAATTTTAGTTTTCTTTATGAAAGTTCACGATGGCTAATTCAAAAAGGTCATTTGAATATCAATTTTAGTTTTCCCTATGAAAGTTCACGATGGCTAATTCGAAGAGGTCATTTAAATAATGATTTTAGTTTTCCCTATGAAAGTTCACGATGGCTAATTCGAGGAGGTCATTTAAATAATGATTTTAGTTTTCTCTATGAAAGTCCACGATGGTTAATTCAAAAAGGTCGTTTAAATGAAGCAAATGAAATAATAGTAGCAATGAATACTTGGGGACAAAATGCGGAAAAAAAGCAATACCATAATGCGGAAGAAGTATTGAATGCATTAAAAAATAATCATACGGTATTTTATAAGCTAAAATTTTAAATTAAAATATTTCAATTTAAAATTTCCCCCCAAAAAATAATTAGTAATTTAGGATGGAAAATTAAATAATTTTGCTAAAATCTTCATCTTTCTTATTTACAGCTAAAATTGTACAAAAATTTTGTTTACTTTTTTCTTTTCATCTAATTAATTTAATTTTAATTTAACTTTAATTTAATTTTAATTTGATTTTAATTTAACTTTTATTCAACTTTTGTTTAACTTTAATTTAACTTTTTCCATTTTAATTTAAAATCTAATTAATCTTATTAATTTAAAATCTAATTAATTTAAGCAATTCTTTTTGATATTTAAAGTATTTCATGCTTTTATTATTAGTAGTAGTAAAGTATTATGTAAATTTGAAAGAAATTAATTTAAATTTTCTTTCACTTCTTCATTTTTCAGGCTAGTCGCCAGCTACTACAATTTAAACGATACTATTTCTATCATTTATTTTACACGTGGAAATTATTTCGTTACAGTATTGTTCTCGCTTTTAGCTGGTAAAGTAATAATTAAAATAAATATTTAGTAATATTATCATTATTTTTCAATATAACAAATATTATCATGAGAAAAATATTATCATATATTATCACTAATATTATCAGTTTCTTTTTTCAACATTACAAAATAATTTTACAAAATTTTAAATGTTTACGAAAAATACCATTCAAGAAAATACTTTATTAAAAGATACTTTAAAATACTATTACTATTCAAAACACTTTCTTAGTTTAAGTAAAACTTTATTTCATTTTATTTGTAATTAAAGTTATTAATTAAAATAATATATTAATTATAATTTTAATTTTTTAAATTATAAATTTAAATGATATTTTTTTAATTATAATTTTAACTTTTCTTTTAATTTAATTGTTTGAAAAACAAAATTTTTTTTTAGCTTTGCTAATGCTATTGCTTTTTACGGTTTATTATTTAATCTGGAAAAGGTTTCCGGATCATTATATATGAATACATCAATACTTGGTGTATTCCGGTATACATTAAATATTATATTAGCAACTGTTGATCATGCGTTCATTTTTGTTGGTCGAAAATTTGTACATACAATGTCAATTATTATTTTTATTCTTAGTATTGCATTTATTGTAATACTAATTAAAGCTGGTAAGTTTCCTTACCATATTTTTTCTTTCTAATTAACCAATTTTCTTAATTAATTAATTAATAAGCTAAAAAAAATTATTTTCTTTTTTTAATTATTTGAAATTTTTTTTTAAAACTAAAAACCATAAATTGCAAATGTTATCTTTTTTTTTTTGATAAAAACGATTAAAATAGCTATAAGCTAAGTTTGGGCTTTTATACAAATATTAATTACATTTAAACATTTGTAAAAATTAGTTAAATTAGTTAAAATAATTTTTTGAATTAATTAAACATTGTTATGAGGTAAAAATTTATTAAAATAATTTTTAGCATTAATTAACAATTTTATGAGAAACTAATTTTTTTTATGAGAAAAATTAATATTTGCAAAAACTAATTAAAATAATTTTTAGAATTAATTAAACATTTTTATGAGATAAATTAGTATTTGTAGAAAATGGAAGAATTGAAATGCAATAAATCGTATGGCATATAATTTATGTTTAAAAAAATTAAGTTCAAAATTAACGGAGTATATCCGTAATCCGTGGTATCCGTAGTATTCGTAGATTTTCGATGGAATATATCGAATAATATCATATGTCAAATATCAAATAGAACTGATAATATCAAATAATATCAAATGAAATTGATCATATCAGTATTATCAGTTTTATTTGCAAAAAAAAGTTCATAAATTTAATCTATATTTTGATATTAAATTAAACTGATAACTAAATTTAGATTGATAAGCCTAAATATTATTAAATGATTTATTTTCATTATAATTAATCAAAAATAATTCTCTTAATTGTTTTTATTTTTGTAAGTATTAAAAACAAAAGTGTTAATTTGAATAAAACAATTGTTTACATTTTTAGATCTTACTTTAAATTTCAAAGAACTTATTCGAATATTAACTCTAACCGGTATGGGTACAATTTCAATTTTATTCATCGTTAATACACTTTCATGCGCTGAACTATTTCCAACAGTTATTCGTAATTTAGCTGGCGCTAATGTTGCAACATGGAATCGAATTGGTTGCATTCTTGCGCCACAACTTATTTATTTGGTATGTATTATTTCTTAGTTAACTCTTAGTTAATTAATTTATTAGTTAATTTTACATCAGCTTTTTTTTTGCTCTAATATAATTTTTTATTAACATATACTGTAATTTGATATTGCAATAATTTACAATATATTTTTATTACGGTAGCAATTAGATATTTGCATTACGGTAGCAATTTTACTATTGTTAGAGTTAATTTAGTTTATAAAATTATACCATAATTTGGAATTTCGTAGTAAAATTATGATTAAATTGCAAGTAGAGATTATTTGCATTAGGGTAGCAATTAGTACGCAAATTTTGCTAATTAAAAATTTTTTTAAACAATGGATGATAATATTAATTTTGTAATAATTGCATTGATGAAATTAAAATCAAACTTTTCATATGCATGCTTAAATATAATAAATTATGATAAACAAATTAAATAATTTTCTTCATCAAATATTTAAAATGGATTGACAATAGTTAATTATAACCGCAATAATAGTTAATGTTTGAAATTTTAGGGTGAAATTGAACAATCATTACCGTATATAGTTCTCATCGTATTACTTTCAATCGACGCTATAGCATTCCTGATATTTCTTCCAGAAACAAAATTACGACCACTTAAAGATGAAATGTTTCCGAAAGAAAAGTTTATTTTAAGAAATTGCAAAACAACGCGTACAATGAGTATATCAAATGATAATAATGATAATAGTGATGATAACGATGATAATGTTAGCTATTTAATGAAAAAATAAGTATTAAATGCTATTGCTTATTTGTCTTAATTAATAGCGACAAATGAGTAAGAATGATGACAGAATTGATTGATTGATAAGCTGATTTTATGCAGACATATGATAAACTTAATCAGAAATTGTAAATTTTAAAGTAAGTTAGATTAATAATAACAGATTTAGTGTGTAAGAATATATGATTGTCTGACTCATATATCATCATCGTTTTAAAGATTAGTAGAAAGTTTCGAAATAATTATTATAATAAGAATTTATAGTTAATTAAAAATAAAAGGATATTTTAATCATCAAAAATTGATGATATAGCAATGTTGTCTAAAGTGTTGCAAAAAATTTTATCAATTAATTGCTTTTGTAAAATATTTAGTCGAATAAAATAATGATAAGTGATCATAAATATGTTCAATCTTCATATTATATATTTTGATGTTTGATAAATTTGTTATTAATATCACATAGTACCCTTAGTCAAATGTAATTTTTAATTTAATAAAATTTCAAATAATTGGATTAAGTTTTTACGACATCAATCGATCGGAAAACAATTGGATTAAGTTTTTACGACATTAATTGATGGGAAAACAATTGGATTAAGTTTTTACGACATCAATTGATCGGAAAACAATTGGATTAAGTTTTTACGACATCAATTGATCGGAAAACAATTGGATTAAGTTTTTACGACATCAGTTGATCGGAAAACAATTGGATTAAGTTTTTACGACATCAATTGATCGGAAAACAATTGGATTAAGTTTTTACGACATCAATTGATCGGAAAAC